CGGTTGGGAAAAGAAGCTTTCAAATCCTTCTTTAAAGCCTGTCTCAGATGCATTCAAATCATTTTCTCCTCTAAATGTGTAGGGAAGTAAGGGGGGGATGGGGTGTCGAAACAATTGCAAAAGGGTGGACAGAACCTGCGTATGAACCAAGGGGAACACGTATTTCAAAAAATCGGGATCAGTGGAGGTTTTAAGGAATGAACTTAACAGTTGTTTATGGGTCCGTTCGTCAAGAACGGCAGGGAGATCGTGTTGCGCGGTTGATTGAAAGGTCTCTAATACAAAAAGGACACAAGGTTCGCTTTATAGATCCAGTAGAATGTGATTTACCATTACTGAATAAGCGTTATGTGGACTATGAGGATCAAGATCGTCCAGAAATCTTGGAACGCCTTGCAAAAATGTTTCAAGAATCCGATGGTTTTGTCATTGTCTCAGGTGAATATAATAGTTGTATTCCTCCCGCTTTAAAGAACCTTTTGGATCATTTTAAAGCAGAACATTTTGCGCGTCGTCCCGTCTCTATTGTGACCTATTCGATTGGTATGTATGGAGGTGTTCGTGTGCTTGGACATTTGCGAGATTGGTTGTCTCAGTTTTCGATGGTACTTCTCCCAACGGTTCTTTCTGTTGGTAATATGACAAAGAGGATTTCTAAAGAGGGGAATATATTGGACGACTCTTTAGAAGGGCGTTTGAATCGTGTTTTGGACGAGTTTTTATGGGTAGCAGATAGGCTAGGATGACCCTCATCAGATTAGATGTCGTTTTTTTAAGGAAACGATCTGAGGGAATTTATACTTGTATTAAATTTTGCTTTTTTAAAAAATAAATACTCAAAAAGTAAAGCCTTACCGTGCTTATGTGTAGCAACTTATGCTACTTGTTTAGAGGCCTTTTTTGATTTGGATGTCAGCGTCGTCATAGCAATATTCTAATTGCTTTTTTAATTTAAATTCAGAGATGTTGATGCCTTCTTTTTTAAGGTCTCGTCGGACGCGTTCCAGTAAAGTTAGGTCATTTGGAAGGTTACAGGCCGTTTCAATAAGGTCTTTTACATAAGTTTCAATTTCGTTTTTGGGCAACCCCATCAATTCTGCAGCCCATGCTCCAAAGAGCTTATTTCGACGCGCGATTATTTTAAAGTGAACAAGGTTTTGGTTTTGAAATCCTCCTTCCATAGCTTGTTCCCGTGCATCGATACTATTATTCATTCGATTTTACCTCCTTTTCCGTATCTCTTAACTTCACTATGCCACTTTTTATATTTGAAGAATACCTTTTTTAAGGAGAGGTAAAATCTTTTTGAAATAAAAAATTAATTATTATTAGATAAGCTTTTAAGGTTTTCTAAAACCATTTAAATTTGAATCATATATGGTTGAAAATAAAAGATATTTATAGTTTTTTTTCTACTTTTTTTCCGCGATTTTTTGAAGGGGGTAACATTAATCTTTTGACAAAAATTTATGAGAAAACCTTAAAAGAAAAATAACTTGAAAGACCCTATTTGAACGAGAATATTCTTACAATTTTTTGCAAAATACATTAAATAAAGTTTCTATAGAGATTAGAGTTGAAAGCGAGCCTACAAATGTCAATGAAGGCTGAAGAAATTTTAAGGTTATTAAAAGAAGCATTTCCTGACGCAAAAATTCACTTAGAAGATTCTCGGGGTGATCAGGATCACTATACTCTTGTGATTGAGAGTGAAGCTTTTTTTCAAAAAAGCCGTGTGCAACAACATCAAATGGTTTACCAAGCATTAGGACAATGTGTGGGAGCAGAACTTCATGCTCTTTCTATTCAAACAAAGGCGAAGGCATCAAAGGAGTGATCATGACACAAACACCAGAAATTTTTGAGAAGCTTCAAAAACAAATCAATGAAAATAATGTGGTTTTGTATATGAAAGGCAGTAAATCCATGCCTATGTGTGGATTTTCTGGTTTGGTGGCTCAGGTTCTTGCACGCTTGGATGTCGAAGATTATTTAGATGTGGATGTTTTGCGTGATCCTGAAGTGCGCCAGGGAATTAAAGACTTTACAAACTGGCCGACGATTCCTCAATTGTACGTTAAGGGGGAATTTATTGGAGGCGCAGATATCGTTCGTGAAATGTATGAGTCTGGAGAACTTGAACAGCTTCTGAGCGCTTAAAGTCCAGAAATAATCTTTATAAGAAGTTGCTTAGGGAAGCTAGGCTGAACCCTGCTTTTAAACTCTCTACATTATGTGCTGAAGGCATATCCCTTTTCCTTATTATAAGCGTCTCACAAAAATAATGCTCTTTTTTTTCAATCCATTAACCATTCGTTAACTTTTGTTGAGTGATTTATTGCCTATAAGACTGGGAGGCGATGTCATGAGAAAGAATCAGGGGGAATGTCATGCAGTTCAAAGGGTTTCACTGCATGGTGATGTGGAAGTTTTGGTTCAATGTTCTCTTGCTTGTTTTGATCAAGTGAGAAAAACTTTTAAGCGACTTAAAGAAGAAGGTTTCAAAATTGATCCGAATATTTTGCAGCATATTCCTTCTGAAGAAGTGGCGGTGAATCTTTTAGAGCTAATGGATCAAAAGTTTCCTTTGGAAGAAGTGAAAGTCGCTTATAAAGCCGTGTGGGGGCTTGATGGGCAAGAAGAAAATGTAGATGAAACGCTATGTTGGGAAGATGCATTGTTACCGTCTACTTCTCGAATAGAGCGAAACCATTATCTACAATGTCGTCTTGATCCCGCTTTAAATGACAGGGCCATTAGCGTGAATACTTTTAAAAATTCCGAGACATTTTTATTGGATGTTCCAGAGTTTTTATTGAGTCAGAATAATAACGATTTTTCTTACAGTGACACTGTTGAAGATGGAGATACTTTTCCTCCCAGTTTGAGAATATGAATCATATTATAAAACCCTAGCTTACTAGCTAAGGCGTTTAAGCCTCGTTAGTGATTGCTTATTAATTTAGGCCTTCCCACCGTACTGGAGCATATTCGTGCCTTCTTTTGATATGGGTCAAAGAAGAGGGTGGATCTTCTTTCTCAATCTTTCCTCTAACCCTATCCAAAGATTTTTCCGCCTGTTTGCGTTGTTCTCTGCTTGCGTGCGGGTTTTCAAAAACATCCTCTAAGATTTTCTCTGCTTCTTTGAAGCGACTTATGCGGGTGTTCAAAGGAATAAGGGGAGGGTGTCTTTCTTTAAAGTAAAAGCGACCCCTTGTTCTTTTGGGCACTTCCAAGGCTGGGGGCGAAATCTCTGTGACACTCATTTCAAGACAGAAGGCGAGCAATAGTTCGGACGGAATAAAAAAACCTTTAGAAGCGGCCGACAGTGTATCATAGCGTTCTTCAGCCTTTGCTCTTGCTTCTTGCTCTCTTTGAGAAAATTGCTTTTGCAGGCCTTTTTTTTGCTGATGTTTCAGGCGTAGGATTGATAGAGGGATGGAAAAAATAACGTCGCGCATATCTTGTAATAGGCCTGACAACCCTGGTGAAGTATCTCCTAATTCCTTAAGCTTTACAGAAAGATTGACATAACTTTCTTTTTGAGAGCGGAAATATTCTTTAGCAGCTTTATATTTTTCTAAATTTATTTCAAGGAAAAGAAAGGGGTCAACAGTTGTTAGGAAAGCAAGATCTTGTGAAAAGAAAATGAAATCCAACACTTGTGGAGAGTAAGTAGCGGCTCGTGCTTCATTTTTTTCGTCGTTGCTGCTTCTGATAAATTTATCACGTTTCTCTCCTTCTTGAAGGCTCTATGCTGCTTGAAGTGTTTTTAAGGCGTTCATGCGTTCATCATGGGATAAGTGTGGATCCATAATCAGAAACAGGGAAAAATGAATAACATCTTCAATATCTTCTTCGCTTGGGGCTGTTTGTTGTTGTAAGGCGGTTGCAAAAAAGTGTGTGAATTCTAGAAGCTGTTCTCTTTTTGTTTGTGAGTTAACCCTTCTCCGATGAAAGGTAGATAATGTTTTTGGTAAGAGCTTTTTCCCTTCTTCCTGTTTTTTACAGCGCACATCCCGGCCCTTAAGTAGGCGACAGGATAGCCAAAGCCTTCATTCTCTTGGTAAATTCGTGCTTTAAGAAGGCAAGAAGTAAGGGATGTATCCTCATTTTTTAAGGTAGATTGAAAGAAGTGTTTTGTTCTTTTTTTATTTTTCCCCTTTAAATATTTGGAAGGACAGAAAGATAAAATTGTTTTTCAATAGAGAGGTGTTCAAAAAAACCTGAAGAAGAGAGGATGGAAAAATACTTTTTAGGAAGTTTTCCCTTAAGTGATTGGCACCAAGAAATAAACTGCGCGTCATTTTCTAAATCATATAAACCTTTAGGTGTTAAAGCGAGGTATCTTTGAAGAGGATCCACCTTTTCTCTTCTTGATTTTTCTAGGCGCTTTTTTTCTTTTTTTTGGAATTTCTTGTGGCCCTTTCTTCTTCCTCTAGCCTTTCTTTTGTGAAAAGAAAAGTCCTTTTAGGGGAAAACCCGCTAACATTTCTCGGCCTAATTGAGGAGCTTTCCTTAACAATGATGGCTTCCTCTAATAATGAAGAGCATGTTAGTTGTGGGACCAGGCTTAAGATTATGAAAAAGCAAACGATTCTTTTGATCATTTTTGATCTCTTCTATAAATATGTTGCCCCCCGAAAAGTGGACAGTTGAATAAGCTCAAAATAAAGTTCTTTTTCGCATTTTAAGAAGGCAAAAGAAAAATGAGTAAAATA